GGTGTCAGGCATCACGAGTGCAGGGGCTGCTCTGTAGTTGTGGGTGAAGTAGCCGCCCTCCTATACGTAGAGCTCTCGGGAATGAAAAGCACTGTACACATGCGAGGAATTCCTAGTATTTCTTCTCCTTCTATAAATGATATATTGCACATAACTCAGTGAAATTGTAGACAGATCAGACAGGCCTGAGGCTTTGCCTACAGAATGCTTGTGGTGGCTGGTTAGCGCTGGAACACTAAAGGTACAGTGTGCTACGTTCGTGAAATGTCTGCCTGTTGACCTCACTTGAATGCTGTAGCAGTTCTCCATTAGACCATAATAGCCAGAACGATGTGCCCCAAGTAAGATAAGATAGATAAGATCACTTTATTGGCCATATACAATTTCTTGTATTAGGAGTTTGTCTTTTCCATACCCCAGCTTGCTCTCCATGAGACACACAGGCGGGGAGAGAGAAGATTGGGGTCAGAGCGCAGGGTCAGCCATTTATACGGCACCCCTGGAGCAGTTGGGGTGAAGGGCCTTGCTCAGGGGCCCAACGGAGTAGGATTCCTCTGTGCACAGTGTGTCTCAGAAGAAAGCATTGTACTTGAGCCATTACTCATGCTGGTGATTCTTTGCGCTTAAAAATACTTGGGAGTGTTTTTGCTGGTGAGATGCAGTGTTGGGGGGAAAATAATGGGGAAAAAACACAACGATACAATAAGAAGCCACTTCGATCATGAATTGAGATTGCCTTGCGATATACCTGTTGCAGCAGCTGTCGACAGCAGGCAGCGCTCAACGAGTATCTCAAAAGCGTCCCGATTCCTTACCCACACCTGCAGGGCGATCCTCAAGATGTGTGTTTGCTCTGTCTTTCCTGCTCCAGGTTCTGAAACCTCATCCTGTCAGTAAGTTTTCTTTTGTATATCGTAGATGGGCGCAGCCTCGTGGTGAAATCCCTTCTGGGCTTTGAACAAGGCTCTGTATTAAAAGTAAAAGGATGTTTTTTTTGGCATGTCTGTTTCAAACTGTAGCCAGCTGTCATTAGTCACTCTGCTTTCATTTGAATATATGTAAAAAAGTAATTTATTTTTTTTAGGCATAAGATTTTACTCCCATAATGCCTGCCTCATGAAATTGGGAATACACTCATTGTGGTGCACCAGAGGAATCAAGATGTTCAGTTACAAATGTGGAAAGGTGAAAAACAAGACCTCAATGAGGCTTTCTGGTGTTCTTGCATTCGTGTCTGTACTTTGGATCACATTGAGGATAAGTCCCAGAATGTTACGAGTGTTCACATTCTCTCTCGTTCGGTTCCCGGGGCTCTCTCAGTTGAGGGCTGTCAGGAGACGCCAGGGTCACCTGGGAGTGCACAGTCAGCAGGCTGCCTTCTGGAGGAAAGGAGGAAATCTCTGTCAAGTGTTTTGGGCTGCAGTACTTCAGGGGAAGAGCTCAGGAAGGGACCCCGCGCTGCAGAGGGGTGGAGCAGCTGACTGATGCAGGGAAGCTGCTCCGGTGCTCCTCCTGCCTCACTGTGTCAGAGTCACTGTGCACTTGACATTAATGTGACGCATGTTCGCTGCAATGAAAAGTGACAAGCTCCCTAAATGTTTTAGTCTCTGTGCATCGGCTGTGAAATGTAACAGTCTGCTCTTCTTCTTCTTAATCTCCAAATCTTTTATCTGTCTGAAACCTGTTCTGTCCCACCTTCCCGGGTGCATTTTCACTTGGCTTTATTTGTGCACCAAGCTTCCCTACAGGGCTGCCTGTCCTTGGAGTGCACTCCGAAACCCTGTGATAACGATACTAACGATTCTGACATTCCTGCAACCAGGAAGAAACAGTCATCCAAAATTCCCCACTAAGACACTAAGCTGTCTTTCTCTTTGTTTTGTTGTGGGTTTTTTTTTTCAGATTTGGCATAGTCTCTCTCTGGAGCAGGTGCACATGTCAGTCACCGGCTCCACACTGATGTTCACCGTGATAAGGATGTTCGAACCTATCACAGCGCACGCAGGGGGGTGATGTCAGTCCTTGCTCCCTGCTGTGCAGTGGCGCCTTGCTGTGCACCGATGTGTTCCAAATGCAATCCATTCTTTTAGTATTAATTTGGGTGACACTTTCAGCAAATGCAACATTTTATACAGCACGGTATAATTATTCAGGGGGAAATACCTTGATCAAGAGAACAACAGCTGTGTCTCACCTGGGATTTGAACTGGCAACCTTCCTGTTTCCAGTGATGAGTCCAGAACCCTACCCACCAATCCATCGCTTTAATCCACAATGTGGTAGTAAACTGCAATGCACAAATCAAGTTGTAGACAGGGTGCTCACATTAAATTCAAATAAGATTCCTTAGAAGTTACTGTGGCAGGAGAAGATTTGGGAGCTTTGTTGAGAATATTCACTGGGCAGTAGCAAAACATAAGACTGAATCATATATAATTTAAATTTAAAGGGGATCTGCAATGCTTTTTTTTTCAGATTTTGAGAATCGGCATTGATGAGTGCACTTCAAACCACAAGAAAAGTAAAATGCACACAGTCACTGGTAACTGCAATTTACACCACAAAATAGACACAAAATAAATTTCCAGGCATGTGCAGCACCATGTTCTGCAGTTCAAAACGAGACGGCAAAACATCCAGTGAGGTGAAGCAGCCCTGTGAATACACCTCTTTTAATCCAGGCGACATATTGCTTTTGATTTCAAGATGGTTTTGCCAGCAGATGCTACTTGTTGATTCTGCATGCAGATCACATCGGAACATTTCTGTATAGAAATATCTGTACAGCCCGCATGGATTCTCTCATGCGTCACGTTACGTTTGTCATTACGGTGACTAGTGAGCAGGAGGGGCCGCAATTCATGGGGAACTCGAATGCGAGTTTGTGACCACATGGCAACTTACGGTACTTTCACAAAGTTCACAATTTTGTGCTTAATTCAAAATTGTGTGAAATGTTTCTCTTCACGTCGATGAACTTATTGTGTTACTGAGGGTTTAAGAACCGGTCTGAGAAATTGGCACTGTTGTGAATGATTTAGTGGCAAGTTGGATACCCTGGTAAAGGCTGGAGCAACCCGGGATGCGAATTCCAGAGTCAGACAGGAAGTCCGGCCTGGACAGAACACAGGCGGGTCCTGCAGGTGCCAGTCATCAAAAGCAAGATGGCAGGAATTACAGGCATAGTTCTCAGCGGGACAGATAAGCGTCCGTGCAGGAGAAAGAGCTTTTCTTGTGCATACAAGGCGGGTAGAGTTCCCAGCCTGAAATCTCTCTACAGATAAAGACCACAACCTCCAGCAGGGCGGCAGTGTAGCCTCTTACCCCCACCCAACAGCCCCGCAGAGGGGAGTTCGCACAGGTGTGATGGCATCTCACTGGTGTCCATTTAGAGCTGGTACCTACAGTAGCTCCGTTCGTGTTCCCACTTCATGCACGAATCTTCTTATCATTGTGACTTATTTTTAATAAGTACAAATAAGCATCAGTGGTCTCGATCGGACAATAGTTAAGAGTTTACTATTAACACTCCGTCAGGTATGTACGGTTCTTACCTTTACCAGACAGATATCCCACCTGTTTTAAGACGGTGAGGTTTTTTCTGTAGTGTTTAGATCCCACTTGCAGGCAAGACTAAAGACCTACCTAACAGATTTGACCACATGTTTCTATCGGGTAACATCCTGGTGATGCCCCGGACTCTGATGTCACCAGTTAGTGCCATGCTTTGAGCAGAAGTCGTTCATATACTGAGACAAGCACAACTGGATCTCTTCCTAACTCAGAATCTCAGGCATGCCTACAAGCCCACACCACCGGGCAGGACTTGAGATCACGGCCCAAGCCCAGAGTCCCATACTCCTGTCACTCACAAACCCCCCCAGCTCAGACGTTGGTGCCAACCAGAGAAGTTCTCGGCACTCTTGTCTGAGCACATGTTGCAAGTGACCTGTGATTCTGGGATTACGAATGGAGAGTAGTTGTACAGGGAGCAACAGAAGTCTGGACCAACATGTGCCTTTACTGTCTCATTCTGGCTGCTCGAAACCAAACCGTATTGCAGCACTAAAGGAGAACATGAGGAATGCCCCATTTTCAGAATCATCCAAGAATGAATGAATGAAAATGTGTATATCAGTGTTAATGGCAACAGTTTTGAATCTGATTTTTTTCTGTTCTACCCCCTGCTTTTATTTGTGCATTTTCTGTGATCAGAAGCTGAATCTGTTCTTGCTATTTCTTAAATATAATACGATGCAGATGGTAATGGTGTTTAAGCCAATATTTTAACTTAAAGCAGTTATTAAGAAAAATATGTACTTAAAACTTTGTAAAAAAGGTGATCATAAGTCTATTTGCTACTTTTAAGGGGATTCTTCGGAGTACTAGTGATTCTTAACTGCTAGTGATTTTACTAGCACTCTGTATATTTAAGATTTAAAGTTAATTATATATCATAAATCCAGTAAGGAAAAGCTAGAGCTTTCATCCTGAGGTAATGTAAGTGATTATTTCTGGGGCCTCAGACAGAGTTTAATACTGCTTCTATCAGTGCTGAATTTGTTTAATAAGGTGTTTTACATCACAGACCCCAGCACTGACAAGTTATGCTCAAATGTGTGATTCAGCTCTATGCATTTTATTCTTAAAGAAAGTCATGGGTTTGCAAAATTAAAGGCTTTCCCCAGAAGATCGACCACCGGAAGGACTCTAGCTGCTGTCCTGTATGTGCACCTGTCTGAGAGAGTGAAGCCATTGGGTACTCTGAGACAGGAGGCACAGTGTTGGAGGCTTAGGAGCTGTTGACGTGCTGGAAGTCTTCATCTATACTGTAATAAGCAAAGAAGTGGCATCTGGAGAAGAGTGAGGCTGAGGAGTGGAGTCATGTCCCTTGAGCTGCTGCTTGTCCTGTCTGTGGCACTAACTGGAGCAGAAGAGGCGTCTCTCTTGCGCAGTGTTTTTCTTCCCTCTTCCTCACTCTTTCTCTCTCTTCCCCGCAGTTATTGATGCCTCTGATGACATCGGGACAGTGACCGACATCCTGGCCCAGCGTGTGCAGGAGTTTGACTTGAGGGGACCCCTGGGGGCCTCCCCTCCCTGGATGGCTCTCTTCGAGGGCTCCCCGGCGTGCCAG